GATTGGTTGTTCATTCTCACACGATGTTAGATGACAGAATGCTGTATATGAGGCCTCTCGAGACACAGAGTTCGGCAGTGAAGAGAGTTAGACAGTGAGCAGTGTGGAGAGACAGACAGAGAGGCACAGAGACAGGCCACGTTCTCTGTGTTTCCTGTTGTTGCAATAAAACTCAGCTGATCATCCCACGGAGTACCTTCATTCTTGACCAGCGTATTTCTGTCTCTGTTGTTAAATAAATATTGCCATAACAGCAGCAAATTGAAGGTGGAATTAAAACCAGATCAAACTGGAGACAAAAGGTGACAGACATTTATGAAGCAGGGTGAACTTGTATTCATGAGAAATTCAACTCTAAATCCTTCACTATCAAACTTTTTTTTAAGTGTTGAGAGAAAATCTAAACAAACAGACCGTCTATCAACTAATATCAAAATGTTTTATTGGACAAATCAAACAAATTCATAATACTTTGACAATACAGTACAATATATTTTCATAGTAAAAAAACAGACATTAAAAATGCAATAAAATAGAATATATATACTAAAACATTATTCATTATGGAATTTCTAAAGTAATATGCATGTTTTAATAAAAGGCAAATATTTGGAATGTTTGTTAAAGAAAGTATTTCTGCACAGAAAGTCACAAGCAAACAGAAAATTAGGACTTTGTTTGGTCTGAGTTTAAACCCTGCAGCCATTTTAAAGCTTTAAAGTTCCTCTCAGCGAAAAATCTTAGATTTGCTGCCGTCGAGGGGCGACACCATCTGTTTGTCTAAATCAGGGGAGTGGAGGGGCCGCCGCTGGTTCTTCCATATGACTGTACAGACTCTGGAAACAAACAGGAGGCACGCCAACACCAGCAGCACCACTGACAAGACAGAAAATATAGACCAGTGGTTAAACATTTTCAATAAAATAAAATGCCCAAAGTGACTTGAAACACTATTATGTTTCTAAATAACGGACAATAGCTGGTCTCTATAACTGATAACTGGTAAATTATTGACTCTAAGGAACACTTTGAGACAAAGTGGCAGAGGCGTTAAAGATAGCCTTCCATTAAATGTCATGTGAAGATAAACACCATGTTTCCAGGATGTTACTGAAACTGTGGAGTATTAAAAAACAGCTTTATTACAACAGGCCACTAAAATGAAAGAACATTAACAGTCAATTCTGACTTAAATGTCAAAAAAATAACAAATAAAAAAACAGAACTTTGATTAGTTGATTCCCTTTTTTAAAAACCACTTTGTTTCTACGGAACTGCTGAGTCTAACAAACTTTCCCCAAGAAATGCAAACACTGAATGTGCTAACTCTGACTTTTATGTGGTTTGGTTATTCTGAACATTGCGGTTGAATTACTGAGAGATTTTAAATCTGCTGTTAGTGTGTTGACCATGAGTTGAAATAACCAGATGACTCAGTTTTCATTTAAAACTGTCCCGTCTTCAGCTGTTTGTTTGTTTAAAATCTGAAACTGTTAAGTTCTTGAAGCATTACCTGCCATTTGTTTACGGGCCAAGGTTTTAAAACCAGATTTTGTGTACCAGTAATCAGTTGATGCATGAATTTTATGTTGAAGATGACTCTCAGCTACTACCACAACCAATTTAAGTCAATATCTGTAAAACGTGGCTGAGTTTTAGCTTTTTCTGTTTGCTGACACAGTGGTCTTTAACTGAAGTGACTCCAAACATCAGAGAAATTGCATTTCAAATGCAGTGTGAAGGCCTAAAGCTGAAAGATTTATGATGAAACTGATACAGAAGCCGAAAAGGTTAAATAGCAAAACTATTAATGCAAATTAGATTGGAAGAGTTTTGCAGTTTTCTTTGTCTGTTGTATTGGAGTAGATTCGAACAGCTTAGTTTTGCTGAAAGTGAGACAATAAAAGTGATTAAAAAAAACAGTAGAATATAGCAAAAAAAAGTGGTAAAAGAGCAAAAAAAGTAGCTCAAATTATCAAAAAGCAGCTAAAAGTAGACAAAGCAAATTAAATTTAACAGACGGGGAAATAAAAGGGAACATTTTCAATGAGCAAAAAACAATTTTAGAAACAGCTAATAAAGCTTCAGATAGCCTAAGCTTTTAAAAGGTATCTGAAATAGCTGAAGTTAGCACAAAGAAACAACACATTTTTGCAGAACTAAGTAGTAAAAAGGTGAAATTATCACAAAAAGGTGAACTTCGCTGAAAAAAAAAACTCAGATAAGCTGAAATTAGCTCAAAAGTAGCTAAAAATACAGAAAACAGCTGAAATTAGCAGAAAGCAGCTGAGAGAAGCCTAAAAAGACTGGTTGTTATCTCTTCAGGGGTCACCACACTGTCCTCTACATCCTCTGTCCTCACTCCAACTACCTCCATGTTCTCTCTGACTGCATCATTTGCTTTTTCCTGGTTGCTATACAGTATCTCCAACATCCTTAATATGTCCACTGTCCTCCTCTGGACATGTCCAAACCRTCTCAGTCTGGTCTCTAACTTTATCCCCTAGTGGTTCAACACGTGCTGACATGAAAAATGTTTTCACCCGGTCTGTTAACACATTATAATTTACTTTTTTCTGCCAACACAGGTCAGTTTATATTGGCCATAAAAGATTTATAACAGCGATAACAGATTAAAACATTAAGGCGGATGAATAGTTTTTATAAACATTATAATTCTTGCTGGCAAGATGAGTCATACTGAGCAGTTTATTAATATCGAGTTATTTTCACTTTCAGATCCTCCTACTAAAAAGCTTCAAAATGACATGTAGTTCACAATGATGCCAAACATTCAGAGAGAAATGGTTCATTTCACATAAAACYATAAAGTTTATAACAGAAAGGATTATTGCTCAAGACATTCCTGTTAGAAAACTTTAGATTAGGAAAATTATTTTTATTTTTATTCCTGGCATCAGAATATGGTGTTTTTATGGATTYATTTTTATTCAAATATCAATTAAAACAAAAATCTATATTTTTTTCTTTGTTTGTGCTGCAGCCTGAGCTCATTCTGACTCATTTTGCCAGCAAGGCAAGATGAGTCAGAATGAGCAGGTCAGGTGAGTCATACAGCAGATCAGACCAAAAAAAAAAGAAGGAAAAGTTTTTATATTATTTCTCTGAATGTTCTGTGTTCAAGAATGCCACTGTTTTAGTTTAGATATGAAATAAATAATATTTCACTCACCTGTAAACACAGAGTTTGTAGTGGGATCATCTGGGTTAAAATGTCTGTCGACATTTCCAACCAGAGCCACGATCAACACCGGGTACACCGTCAAGATGTTCCGCACCCATCGGTCCAGAACCCAGGTCTCCAGAATGAACCTGCAGACAGAGGAGAGAGCAGATGATCCATTATGAGCTACTGAYATGATCAAACAAGGTCTAATTTTCCTTCTAATCACTGATCTCTTTAAATATTATAGAAATATTACTGGTGCCATCTACAAAAAGAAAAAGGGGTGTAATTTTTGAGACACATAAATGCATCATTTTGCCTCTAAATCAGGGGTGGGCAATCCTGATCTTCGAGGGCCGCAGCCCTGCATGTTTTTACTTTTTCCCTGCTCTAACACACCTGATTCAGTCACAGTCTCTTCCAAGTTCAGCTGTATGGAGGACCGACACTGACATAATTGGAATTAAAAGCAGAAACATATAAATGCACCACTAAATAAATAAATATGTTTAAAATGCACCAAATAAATTTAAAAAAGAACTTTACCTCAAGTTTTATAATTTAATTTACCTT